CCGGGACGCCCCCCAGCCGCAGCAGAGAGCCAGGACCGTAACCCCGGCGTGCATGCACCCGTGGCTCCTTGGGCGCAGGGGGCACCCAAGGCAACTCCCCCCCTCCCCGGTAACACCCCATGCAGAGCAGCCCCCGGCTCACATTTCGGCGTTGCTGAGATTCCGGGCTTCCGTGATGATCTCCTGGAGCAGCACCGACACATCGTCTGCGGGGGAGAAGCGGATGGTTTGGCAGCTCAGACCCCGGCGTGCATGCACCCGTGGCTCCTTGGGCGCAGGGGGCACCCAAGGCAACTCCCCCCCTCCCCGGTAACACCCCATGCAGAGCAGCCCCCGGCTCACATTTCGGCGTTGCTGAGATTCCGGGCTTCCGTGATGATCTCCTGGAGCAGCACCGACACATCGTCTGCGGGGGAGAAGCGGATGGTTTGGCAGCTCAGACCAGGCCCAGGCAGCGTGGGCAGGGGGACCAGCGAGAGCACACGGAGCCGCCCACCTCTAGGCCTGAGCCCCCTGCCCCTGAGCACAAGGCCTCCCCAAGGGACAGCCCTGGGACCAGAGCTGGGAGTGACCTGGGGACTTGGCACAGGGGCACCCACATCACCCTGAAGCTGGAGCTCTGGGGCTAGGCCATGGCCCTGGCCACCAGCCCCATACCGAGTGCATCTCTAGGATGCCAGGCTGTGGCTTTATGGTCTGAACACACCAGGGTTCTAATCCCAGCTCTAATGCCAGTTTCCTCCACAGCGAGTCACTGCCTGGCCCCTGCCTCAGTTTCCCCATCGGGACAGGGGGACAGGGCTGCGGACCTACTCCGCAGGGAAACTTGGTGAGATGCTCAGGGGATCGCGGAGGGGCTATGTAAACAGTGTGATGGCCAGACTGCTCATGGTAACACCAGGGCAAAGCCGGGAGGGCATCACTGGTAGCCTCATGGGGTCACTGAAAGCAGAAGTGAGCCTTTAGCGTCGCTACATGGCCCTGATGCTCCAACTCCATCCTCTGGGCACACGGGCGTGGCTCTTCGCCGCCCCCGAGGCTGACTAGAGCAGAGTGAAGACATCTGGGAGCATGCAGCCAACTTGGGGCAGCCATGCGGGAGCTGGGGAAGGACACGAGCCAGCTAAGAAGCGTGGTAGCCAGAGGATGAGATGCCTAGTGGTTAGACACAGCCTGAGACCTGAGGGGAATTCTCTGCGGACTCTGTCATGTAGGGCAAGTTGTTTCACTACGTCATTGCTTCCCGCCTCAGTTTCCCCTCTGTGAAATGGGGATAATGATTGTGCCTGGAGCCTGGGCAGGGCACTGCTGCATGAGAACAACCCTAGGCTGGGCATGCCAGGAGCAAAGGTCCCCCGTCCAATCCCTGGTCAGCTGGAGGATCGTCTTTCTGCTGCTGAGGGGGGCTCCAGATGGCCTGTCGCATCACCCTCTTCTCCCTTCGGCTGGGGATGGGGCCTGAGCTGTGAAGAGAAGGGGCAGGGGCCGGGGCCGGGTCAGAAGCAGGGCAGAACCGACCCACCCCTCCCTGGATGTTCAGAGCCAGGGGGTGGTTCATGGCCTGGCACAGATGGGGCTGAGCTCAGCCGATGCAGACTCCTCCCAGCTGGACATGCTGGCCCGGTGCCAGAGGGGACCCGGATCGCCCGGCCCAGGGAACCCAGAGAGCCAGGTCCAGCCCCGCCCCCAATAGCTGTACAGCCTTAGAGCCGAGAGCCAGGAACAGGTGTCAAGGGGTTGTGATCCTGGCCCCATATGGCTGAATGGGGGCTCAGGGCCCAGCTAGAGAGGGGCGTCCCTGCACAGAGACTGCTACCATGCGGCCCCTTAGTGGATAAACTCAAGCCCAGCCAGCCCCGTGCCTTAAGCCCACAGGAAAACACCCGCATGTCCGCGACACGATCCCTTCCACGTCCCACCCCGCGGGGCCCCCCCCCTGCCACGACCCCTTTCCCCGAGGCTGTGGGCTGGCGCTCACAGTGGCAAGTGCCTCCAAAAGGCCCAAGATCCCAGCGTGGGGCAGCACTGACGCCCTCTGGGGCAGACGGAAGGCAAGTTGGTCAGGGACATTTTCGGGGTCAGGGCTGGGTCTCCGTGATGCGCCGTAGTGGGGGAGGTAGATGGTGTGTGTACACGTGTGTGTGTGTATGTACAGGGGATCTATGTGTGCAGTGGAACTGTGTGTGTGTGTGTGTGTGTGTGCGTATAGGCAATCAGGTGTGTATGCATGTGTGTGTGTGTGCAGGGAATATGTGTGTGCAGGGAATATGTGTGTGCACAGAAATGATGTGGACGCATTGGAGAGGGTCCCGCAGAGGGCAACAAAATGACTCGGCTGGAGTACATGATCTACGAGGAGAGGCTGAGAGATTTGGGATTTGGGGACAGCCTTCAACTTCCTGAAGGGGGTTCCAAAGAGGCTGGAGAGGTTTTCAGTGGTAGTGGTGGTGGGGGCGGGCATCACGATGAGCAATGGTATCAAGTTACAGTGGGGAAGCTCGAGGTTTGATATTAGGAAAAACTGTTTCCCTAGGCGGATGGGGAAGCGCTGGGATGGGTTCCCCAGGGTAGCGGTGGAATCTCCATCCCTAGAGGTGTTTAATAGGGATGTCAACGTGTAGTCGACACAGCTTATCCGTTAACCCTATCGACAGCACGCACTCCCCCATCCCTTGCTGCCTGTGATACAGAGGCAATGAGGAGTAACAGTAGTTCGAACTAGGAGCTTTAATTCGAACTACCTAGTCCGTGCTGTGTGCAAGGGGTTCGAACTACCGGGCATTTAAAAATGGCGGTGCCTGGGAACATGCAAATAAAGCCTGGGATATTTAAATCCCGGGCTTCATTTGCAAATTCGAATGACTAAATTAGCCACCCTACTTCAAACTAGGGGGCTAGTGCAGACATACCCATAGAGAGGCAGTAGTGCAGGGTGGCAAGGGGCTCCCCGGGAATAGGGCCAGGAGCACACTGGCCGGTGGCCCCGCCTCCAGGGGCTACTGAATAGTCGTATAACCGCTAAAATTTGATGCGGTTACATGATTATTCAGTTAATTGACATCTCACATCCCTTGACAAAGCCCTGGCTGAGTTGATTTAGTTGGGATTGGTCCTGCTTTGGGCAGGGGGCTGGACTCGATGACCTTCTGAGGTCTCTTCCAGCCCTAGGATTCTATGACTTTAAGTGCATGAGTGCAGGGATCTGTGTGCGCATGCGTGTGTATGTGCACAGGGAATCAGTGTCTGCACACGTGTAGGGGATCTCTATGTGTGTACATGCGTGTGCATGGAATCTGTGTGTGTGCATGTGTGTGAATGGAATCTGTGTGTGTGTGCATGTGCAGGGGATCCGTGTATGCATGTGTGTGCGGGATAGCCATGTGTATATGCACGTGTGTACAGGATATCCATGTGCATATGCGTGTGTGTGCAGGATATCTGTGTGCATATGCATGCATGTGTGCAGGGGATTTGTATGTGTATGTGCCTGCATGTGAAGGATATCTGTATGTGTATGTGTGAGCAGGATATCCATGTGTATATGCATGTGTGTGCAAGGGATCAGTGTGCACATGCGTGTGCAGGGATCCGTGTGCACATGTGTGTGCAGGGGATCCGTGTGCACATGCGTGTGCAGGGGATCCATCTCAGGGCGTGAGAGGGAGATGCTGCCCTGTAGTGACTGCTCTGCAGAGAGGACAGGGAACACTCTTGCTCCCAGCTCGAGCTGCCGTAGCTCCAGTGCTGGGAGCTGGATGTCGGAGCGCAGAAGCCAGAGTTCTGGGCCCAAGGAGCCTTGCCTGTCTAATGCCTGCAGAGCGGCAGCCTTGCATTTTTCATGGTCCCCTGGCCAGTCCACTAGGATTGTGGCTTCCCAGAGGGCCCCAGCCTGGCACCACCAAACCTGGGCCAGATGAAGGCCCAGACCTGGAGGAGAATGGCTCCATGCCCCATGCCCCGTGTCCCAGCCGCCCCATCTGGGAGTCGGGCACTCACAGACTCCATGGCCTGTAGGAACAGAAAAAGCCACCTACCCAAGTGCGTAAACAGGTTCTTAGCCACTTGCAGGAGCGCCTGGGGGGGAGAAGGGAAATCTGGTTATGAGAGTTCAGGACCGGAGTTAATTAGACAAATCCGCTCCCCTTCCCCCGCCATCCACCTGGGCTCAAGCCAAGCTCCCCTCCAGCTTCCTGCCTGTGACCTACGCAGCCTCCTCTAAATCCCCATGGTTCTGCCTAATTAGCCCTCATGATCTTCCCTGAGCACCTGAGCCCCCCCCATCTCAGGGGCGGCGACATGCCAGCTCGCAGCGCGTGACAGCAGCAGGGCCAGAGACGGAGCAGGTGCACAGAAGCCTGACAAGCGAGCTCTTCCGCCGCGGCGTTAGGGCAGCAGTGGAGATCGGGGCCCTACGGGGCCAGGTGCTGCACATAAGAAATATGAGCCGGTGCCTGCCCCGGGGATCTGTCAGTCTGTGCAAAGGGTGGGAGGGGAAACTGAGGCATGGCGCGGGACCAGTCTGTGGCAAAGCTCGAAATGGAACCCAGGTCTCCTGGCCCCCATTCCCTGATCCAATGCTTTAGCCGCTAGACATCACTGCCTCCCCTGCTGGGCATTCCGGGGAGCACACAAGAAATGCACCGAGGGCCGTCGGGCGGTGAAGGGACAAGGATGCTGTCCCAGAGGATAAGCTTGGTGTGCTGTCGTTCAGAGAAGTCCCTGCCTGAACCAGCCCCGTTCCTCCTATCAAATGGATACTGGACATTTCTGGCATCCCATTAATCCCCCCTCACGCACCCTCCCCCCGGGAGCAGCAGCCATCCCTCAGGGCAGGAATCATTCCTGGCTGGGAGATGCCCCTCTGTCACGCATCAGGCCCTGCCTGCCGATGCTTGGTGTGCTGTCGTTCAGAGAAGTCCCTGCCTGAACCAGCCCCGTTCCTCCTATCAAATGGATACTGGACATTTCTGGCATCCCATTAATCCCCCCTCACGCACCCTCCCCCCGGGAGCAGCAGCCATCCCTCAGGGCAGGAATCATTCCTGGCTGGGAGATGCCCCTCTGTCACGCATCAGGCCCTGCCTGCCGATGCTACGCCCCATAGCGCCACTGGAGGGAGCCCCGAGCATGGCATGTGTGTGGCAGAGCTGCGGGGGCAGGGCAAGCAATCCACTTCTGACACTGCCGCGGAGCGGGATGGATGCACCAGGCGACAGGTGTCGGCCTGGCTGAGTGTGTGAAGAAGAGCGGGCCAGTGTGTGCAACCAAAGCCAGAGCCGGCCTGTGCGACTGTGCGAGATCTCCAGGTGCGTTAGTGTGCAAGCCCACGAGGGTATCCGCGCGTGCGAGGCAGCACCTCACCGCCGGCAGGCTGGTGTTTGCCTGGGTGCACCCGTGGTGGCAGGTGCAGCCATGTGCCGTGGCATGCAATAGCGTGAGAGGAAAGGTGCAGTAAGTGTGCGTGACCCAGCACGTGCGTGTGCATGCACGAGTGTGCCGGGGTGTGTTCACTAACCCTGAGCAGCAGCAGGTCCAAGCCCCCAGGAAGCAGGGCGGGAAACAGTTTTTCCCATCCTGCAAATATCGTGAAGAGTTGGCAAATTTTCACTGACTTTGGACAAAAAGTCAAAACCAAGCGCTCTTGCAAATCGCAAAACCAAAAATGTTTCGGCTTCGGCCAGTCCCAACGGCTCCGTTCATGAAGCAGAAAGGAAACATTTCTTGGGGATTGCCATGGTGCTGTCTGTCACCTTTCCTCCTGTGAATGAGCTTCAGCCTCAGAGCAAAAAGCTGGTAAACGGGGCCGTTTGGGTTGTTTCCAAACTTTTTTTTTCAAACTTGCTTCCAGTTGGGAGATTGGCTAACACAGAGCCCGTTTCTGAAGGAGTTCAATAAATCAGCCTCTTTTTGTAAAAAAAACCCCTTTTGTCAAAAAGGTCCTGACCAGCTGGCTCCCGGAGCAGGCTAGGACGAAAGCTACCCACTAGGGGGCAGCGCTCCGCATACAGCCTGTGACCCTCCTAGAACTCAGGCTTTGGAAGTTTGTTATAGATGGGGACAAGTGGCTACTCCCCAGCACCAGCCAAACTGAGACTAGAACCCAGCCTCCTCCCATCCCCTTCGGGGGATGCTGTACCCACCCTCTCTCTCCCCAGGAATCACTGAGGCCGGTGTTATTATTGAACCCCTCTGCCTGGGGGAAGCGGAAGTATGAACAGGTGCCATCAGGGCTGGGGGAGGTGAATTACATCCTGGCCAGGGTGCCCATGCACAGGGCGCATTGTACAATGGCCAGCATAGGGCGCTCATGACACAATCTGCCTCCATGCAGAATAAGCACCCGCTTCCCAGCAGGCTGTGCAGCAGCAGCCCCATGAGGGGAAGCATTGCCTAGTGGTTAAGGCACTGGACTAGGTTACCAAAGATCTGAGTTTAATGCCTGACTCTGCTACTGACTCCCTAAATGACCAGACACAAGTCACTTTATTTCCATGCCTCAGTTTCCCATCCGTAAACCGGGGCTGATGATTGTCGTGTCTAATTATAGTCAGCCCCTGCGGGCAGGGACTGTCACTCAAAGTGTGTCCAAGCAGCGCCTGGCACAGTGGGGACCCAGTCTGTTCTGGGCTGCTGTCCCTTGGATCTGCTTCCAGCAGAAACCCCTACTCCTCGCTTCCCTCCCCCACCTATGCCCTGGCCCAGGAGCAGGATGGTGCCCAGAAGGACTCAGGACTAAGCACTAGCTCTGAGCCCTTCTAGGGGGTCACCGTGCCCAGCTCAGCCTCCCTGGGAAAATACTGGCAAAAAACCAGCTTGGCACTAACGTCAAACAGCGTGGCCTGATGCTTTGGAGCGTCTTGGCAGCTTTAAGCCTCGTGAGACGTTCCCGCTGATGTGTCAATG